AAAAGCGGGAAACTCGTCCCTGCACCGGGGTTTTCCTCTGCAACAGGAAACTCTCCTGTGCAATGAAGCTGCAACTTGGCGGGGATAATTCTGGTGCCGAAGCACACACAAAATCATGCCTTTGGGTCATGACACTTCTGAATATTATTTTAAACAAAATGTACCTACTGTATCTTTTAACCATCAATAGAAATGTGCCTCAGTATGAAAGAGTCACATCAAACTCAAGCATGATTTCTTTGGGGAGCAGAGAAAGAGCCGATTTATTTGATCCTTTAGAGAGAATAGATCTGAAAATGTTGAAGGAAGGGATGGACAAGAACAAGCCCTTTTTATACTTGTTTTGATCTTGTCAGTGAGCTACAGTACTACATCATCTCGACATGAAATAGATGTAAAAGAACAAGTACATGAGAAGAGAGAGGCCACTAGAGAATCCAGCAAAAATGGATATAATATCATTACTGTAGTTCAAAACAGCATCTGGGCTTCTTCCTGCTCACCACTAATACAAAATGGATGGCATAAACAGCCTTTCTTTAGATTTTTTTTCTGTTGCAATAAAACATACAGTACGCTTTTTTTTTTGTTGCAATGAAACGTACAGTACGCTTAATAATAAATTTAATTAATTAAAGAAACTAGCTCTTAACCCAAAAGACTAGGATATGCCTTGGGAACATTTACAATACATTGGTATCTATTCAGTGTCAGGAAAATGCAGAGCAGATGAGTTTAGCATTAACCTTGTCCTCTCAATTCATAATGGCCATTGATTAGAAGGCCAATTTTCCCTAAAACATTTTCAATATAAAGCTTCTTAGAAGACAAATTATTTTCTATATTGAAAAGAGGTTTCAGGTGCCCAATGAACACAATTTTACGATCTTAAAAAACTAGAACTAGAGTTTGTTTTATTTTTCAATTCTTTAGAATCCCATGACTCCTTTAAGTAATAGGTTGTCATTTCTATTTGAATATGATTGCTCAGAAGCTGAAGTATATGTGGTAGCTGGGAGAGTTCAAGTTGAAAAGAGTATTAATGTGTACCCATTTTACATCAACTTATAAAATTAAGTATTACCCTTTAAATTCCTCTTCAGTGTAATGTTATTCTTTCCTTATGTTACAAGTAAGTAAGTTCTTAAAGTTCCCGTTTATGGGTCTAGGAAACTGGCAGCTATCTTTGTTCGTTCACTTGCCTGTCACACCTTTGATGGGCGAATATATGGATATATCAGTAAACAAATGAAGATAATTGCAGGTCATACAGCCACATTTATATGATGTTCCTTAATATACCTTACAGAAATTACCCAGTGTAGTCATACATGGAGTCATAATCAACAAGGTCTATAATTCACAGTCCTTATGACTGGTCAGCTGCTAACAGATCTCACCTTACTATTTCTTCTTTATTTTCTATTCTCTAGATTCTAATTTGTAGTTCATGGTACCCATGTCCACCCATCTCCCGGAGCTTTCTCACCTATTGCTTGCTCGGGTAAGTTACTTCTGTATCTCTGGGTGCACACTGTCTATTCTAACAAGTCGCTGCCATGTTCCTATGCCTCCGCATGGGCTGCCCTAATCTTCTCGGTCACTCTCTCTCACACTCTGTCCCCTTCCAGGGGTAGAGTCTTGTGGGCGGTGATCTTTCAGTGCTTCCTCCTTGCTTCTCTTCTGGTCAACAATTAAAGTCTTCTTTCAGGTGTGTGAATCTCCTGCCATGAGATGTCGCTTGGTGATGTCACCAGTGTCTCCGACTTATGGTAAGTTTTACTCATATTATCTCTCGTAACAGGGTCGTTTGTCTCCTTGTTACATACCTCCCCCCCCCCCCCCCCCAATTTCCCCATAGTTTAGGAATATCTCTGTTAGTACCTCATTTCTGGATAAAACAACTCTTTGTTTGGCCAAATCGCACTTTTCGGTCGATGTTATCTTCGACCGAAAAGTCGGACTGGAAGTTAGTAATTATATTTCTCCTCCTGGGGTGATGCTGTACAGACAAATGGAAGGGTTGTAATGCCAAATACCATCACATTATACGTGCATTATTGGTCTTCACTGATTAGGGCCATCTTAATGGAGCGTGTTCTGTATTTAATATAAATTTTCTTCCTAACAGATAATATCTAAAAAGTTCAATTCCCCAACAAATAGCCAGGCATTCGCGTTCTATTGTGGAATATCTGCTTTCGGCTCCTGAAAGTTTCTTACTTGTGTATGGTCGTTCCTCTCCTCAGATATTTTGGAATAACACCACCCCTAAAGCAAGTCCTGAGGCATCTGTTTGTAATAAAAACATTTATTGGAAATTAGGGGTGTACAGCATGGGTTTTCTTATCCCTTGTCGCAGAGCACTTAGGTGCACTGCTCCTAAGAAGGGAGAAAACTGTTAGGGAAA